TCATCTCACTTTCGACAAGATACTGCAGGAACCATCTGAAAAAATGAACGCTGCTAGCTGGACAGCATGGTTGCAAGTCATGGATTACTGTTTCATTAAATCTAATCTTCAGGAATTACATTGCCCTTCTTGCACTGACTTGAACAATCCAGTCTCTGTGTATGTATGTTTTTGTTTCTTGTCTATTAAGAGTCCTGCGGATCTAAGTTTATTCACCAAATTGGGAACTGTTTTCATCGAAACTTTCTAGAGATCGAAAATCTTCATATGAACACTGTGTTGTTCGTTTACTCACTGCCAGTATTTCCTTAACCTTCGCCACCACCAGGTAGTGATAGTGGTCAGTATCACAATCTGCTGCCCTGAATGATGGAAACATCAAGTATACTTGAATGCCATCTCCTATTTACCAAAATATGGTCGATTTGATTGTGTCTTTTCATCAGATGTCCAAGTAAATTTATTTATGTTACGATTTTGGAACTACTGATAATAAGAAGCTGCGAATATATTGACGAAGCAGTCGCGGACAGCCGATAAGGAGTGGTCCTCCAGCTTGGAGGTTGGGCATGGGGTAAATAACTCCTCACTGCAGAAAATAAGCTTTTTACGAAAATGTTTAAAAAGTCTCGGACCTGGACAGATCCTGTCGATTCCAAAGAAATAACGGTTACCTTCAAAAACAAAAGGAGCTGGAGAACTTTGTCCGGATCTGTCGTAACAGTGTGTTCCTTCAAAACCATACAGAGATAAGATGACCTCTCAGATTCTATTTAGTCAGTAAGTGCTTCATTGTGATCTACAGAAGACAGAACGAGATTAATATTTGACACTGTGAATTTTCAGCAGACTTCCGGCTTCAAGACGCAGCCCTGCCTCCTTCATCGCCTTGCTTGTGTGCATTGCTTCGTTCAGACTACATACTCTTATGCCATAAATATAAACAAAATGTGGCCTAATTTTAATACACACTATTTTCTCTGTACAGAATGCTACAGTATTCTCCCAATCTGTTCGAATAACAAATGGGGCGAGAAGTCAGTTAGAAGGAATGGAACTCAGTCAAATACAAAACTGTTACGAATTCAGCAATTGCACATAAACTTATCCTAGCTTGCTGCTGTGATCACACTCCGAGTATGATACAAGTTACCCATAATTCAGTCACAGTGGCACTCTCTTGATTGACACATCGCGGGGTTTCTCTTGGATCTACTTGCACGGAAACTCCAACTTAATACAAGTATTATGTTTTTGGACATTATCCATTGTCTTGTCTATTTCTTCAAAAACCGTCCTGTTTCCTTTTTAAAAATAGACAAGACGAAGAATAATGTCCAAAAACCCACGGTCCCGGCTTGCGAGCGAGCGAAGACAGTGCATGCCTTAGACCGCTCGGCTACCGTGACCGGCAGGAATACGTATAGTTACTGAAATACCGATATGGATCCTTATCGGTGCAAGGCGTCGTATTAAATATTAACATAAAACTTTTCCTCGGAGCGAAATAAATGGGGACAAGTTGAACAATATAAGACTTGACACCAGCATGAATTTCAGGAATAAAAAGAGGGAATATCTGAAAGACAAAATTGAAGAACTTGCAAAAAAAACAGAAAGAACAAGAACATTAGACAATTAGAGAATAAATGACTTTAAGAAGGGTGCCAACCTAGAAGTAGATTAGTGAAAGATGGAAAGGGTGATCTGCTTGCGGGTTCACACAATATTTTGGATGGGTGAAAGAACTACGTAACTCAGATTTTGAATGTATATAGTGTCAGTAATGTTAGGCAAATAGAAATACATACAATATATATCGGGGTATATCACTATTGCTAACTTCATACAAAATTTTATTCAATATTCTATTCTCAAGGTTAAGGCCATATATAGATTAAATTACTGGGGATCATCAGTGTGCTTTTAAATGTAACAGATCAACAATAGATTAGATCTTTTGCATTCGTAAGATGCAGGAGGAAAATGGGAGTACAATGAGGCAGTACAGAAGTTATTCGTAGAATTCAAGAAAGCATAGGTTTCAGTTAGAAGGGACGTATTGTAAAACATTCTGTTATAGTTTGGGGTTCCCATGAAACTAATTAGGACGATTAAAATGTGTTTAAACAAAACGGATAGTAAAGTCCATATAGGTAAATATTTGTCTGATAATTTTCCAATCCAGGATGGTCTAAAAAAGAGATGCTTTATCGCCACTCCTTTTCAGCTTTGCTTTAAAATATGCCATTACAAATGTCCAGGAAAACCAGGTGGGACTGAAATTAAATGGGATATATCAGCTGCTGGTTTATACTGATGATGTGAATCTACTGGATGATTATTATGTACCGTAAAGAAAAACATAGAAAGTTTATTTTAAGCTAGTAAAGAGGTTGGTCTATAATTAAACACAGAGAAAACTAAGTACATGTTGCTATCTCGTCACCGGAATGCAGGACAAAATCATGAGATAAAGACAGCTAACAAATGTTTTCAAAATATGTGGTAGAATAGTTGGTTGAGGTACTATGCTACAAGCCAGGAGATCGCGGTTTAAAATCCAAATGAGGGGGATTTTTCATTTCACCCAATCCTTCCAACCGCTCTATGGTCCTGAGGTCGACACAACCTCTAACAGAAATGAGTACCAGGAATCTTTCTGGGGCAAAAGGCGGCCGGCGCATAGGACTGACAACCTTACCGCCATCTGGAGCCCGTTGTCTAGAAAAAATGAGGAAGCCTCGACGTCTCACAACCCTATGGCCTTCACGGCCTCTTACATGGATAGCTTTACAATTATGTGGTATATTTTAGTTATTGGAAACGACTATAACAAATGAAAACCTGATACAGGAGGAAATTAAGAGGAGATTGAATTCAGGTAATCATTGCTATCATTCAGTTCAACACCTTTCGTCTTCTCGTCTGATGTCTAATGACATAAAAATTAAAATATACAAAACTATAATATTGCCTGTGGTTCTGTATGCGTGTGAAACTTGGTGTGCGACATTAAGGGAGGAGCATACAGTGAGGGTGTTTGAAAACAGGGTGTTGAGGAGAACATTGGAATCGAAGAGAGATGAAGTGACGATACAATGGGGAAAACAGCATAATGAGGAGCTTCATAAATTTTAAATTTCGCAAATAGGATCAGAATGATTGAGCCCAAGGAAAATGAAATGGGCACAGCATGTAGCATTAATGGGGAGAAGAGATAGCTGGTGGGATAGCCAGAATAAAAGAGACCACTAGAAGTTCAAGGCGTAGGTGGGTGGACAATATAAAGATGAATCTTGGAGTGAGAGTATGGGATGGTTTGGTCTGGATCGATCTGGCTTAGGAGAGGGGCCAGTGGAGGGCTCTTGTGGACACGGTAATGAACCTTCGGATTCCATAAAATGCTGGGAAGTTCTTGAGTAGCTGCACAATTGGCAGCATCTCTAGAAGGGCTCAGCTCCATGAGTGAGTGAGTGAATAATACTGGTGTATTGAATCTGCTACTAATTACCCTTACTACGTGCATGATTTCGCTGTGTCACGGCACTTTGTTTTCATGAGGAAGATGCGTGTATGTGAGAGAGTATATGCAATCATAGTAATCTCTCGCGCCTTATCTGCACGTGTAATCCACTTCCGACATTCGAAACCTGATATATAATTCCACCGTATGATTCTCGCCAGAATGACACAGCAAAAGACTTATTATATTTCAAATTAGTATGCAATACACTTGGTGGTTATAATCAGAATTACGAAATATTGTTGTTGAAATTAGGTTTAAGAGTTTTGAAAAGAACCCCAGGTCACCAAATCATTCCGTTATGTATATAGACCAGTGGCAGCGGATTTAGGAAGCAGCCCGTGGAGTACATTTTATGCCGGTAAACATTTGAACTACAGATAAGTTCGTCATCCCACCCTCCACCACCACCCTTGCAGTAAAACACCGAAATACCAATCTCAACGTTTTATGAGTTCTTCTTCAGTATACACCAGCAACCTTCCTCATGTCCGAAGGCTCACGACAAGGATCGTAACAGATCCAACAGCATCAGAAGACGCGGAAGAACAGCGAGACCTCAAAAAAAAAGTGAAAGTGTAACCAATATAATAAAGTTGAACTTTAATTCATGAACTTTTAACCAATAATAATAATAATTAAACCAGTTAAACTGAACTAGACGCAGTGGTGAGCGTAAGTAGGAAGAGACTGAAAAACAAGTGAAAGTGAAAGTATAACCAGTGATCTGAATGGAACTTCGATTCATGAAATTTTAAATTTTAATTTCAACTTTTAACATTTAGAATAATATTTGAACTTGTGTTTTATAGGAGGAACTTGATATATTATTGAGCGGGAGCCTGAATAAGATACAGAGTCGAATAAGTGAAAAACGAATGTGATTGAGTGTAATTATACAGCTGTGTTCGTACACCTGAGGATGACCTCTTGAGGTCGAAACATGTAGTGTGATAATAATAAAAACGTGTTGTGTAGTCGGTAAAATTAACTCTAATATTCACTTTTACTCTGTTTAATTCTCCTTAATTTCATCACTAATTTATGATATAGGCCATAGGCCTGGACTGGTAAAAATTCGTATAGTACTTGTAGAAGTAATAATTGAAATTCCACCTTGTTTGTTCCAAAATATTTAATTTTGCGCATATTTTTCTAAGTTTATAGACTAGGGGTCTCCTCCCTCTCTGTGTTCTAGAGGACCTCAGGCCCCTTTGCCTTACATTCTATCCCCACTGAAATTAACTTCTCGACATGCACGTACCAGCTACATGATCATAACTAAATGCACTGTGACGCTCTTCTCCAAGTGGTCATAAATCTTGGCCGAGGTAACAATTTCGCAAGGGTAGGTCACTGTCAAACACAGGTTTGTCAAGGTCGTAATCCATTAAATTACAGTCCCAAGTGTAGCACATGGCCTGCGGCCTTACGCAACTAATTGTTCAGAAATTACAAGTCATGGCACGCGAAAATCAGCTCTCCGTGCACCATCCAGTCAGCTGCAAGACACCAAAGACTGAAGATACGAATTTGGTAAGACACTTTTCGGTTTCTAATTTATAAAATATAAACTTAATACCATAAAGTGATTTCAGATATTGAGTTTGCGTACTTGTTGCTTTAGTAACGCGATATGCCACTACATGACTTAATGTCATTAAGTCATTAACATCTGAATTCTGTATTTGTGTACGTCTCCCAAACTGTCTCTTCTCTCCAGGATTTCCGATTATGAGCTGTATGTATATCTCATCTCTCCCCTGTCCACTACATAGTCAGCCACCAGATCCTCCCGGAATTATAAGTCCCAATACGTGGTGAACAGCGAAGACATTGATTTCCAAATATGCGGGTTTCGATATCCAAATATTTTCCAACGCACTTCTCTACAAACACTAATAATTTATTCTTAATTTTTAATGTATGGAACGGATTTAATACCCCACGAAGCTGTAGGCAAAGTTGTTAGTTTTTATATTTTAATCTTTAAATATTTAGATAGCAAACGCTAAGATAAGAGAACTGTCAAAATCTTCACACTCAAATCGGATAAGGGAAGCTGTAGATATTCAGAACTGAACAGAGCACATGAAGAGTCGTATACAGCTACTGTTTAAAAATTGGTTCTCATCACATACATAAAACATATATACAAAACTGTTAGTGCCACAACTGTTTTGTAGAATTTTTATATTTCTACCGGTGACACGGAAGTAAGTGTGATATTTATTCACCATTTTCATTTGCATTTTCTTATATTTTAATTATTTAGCACGAGAACTTCAGAATCCTGATCAGCCAATTTATTTGTGCCAATTTATCAATCTAATTATAATCAGGCTCTAATAAAAGACGAGCAGGCTTGTGGCGTACTTTATACATCACTTTAGGTTTAAGAATTACTCATCAATATCAATAAAATACAGTGTGTGTCAATGAATCGGGCGATATGGCAGCGGCGTTTTTCCTAGCTTTATTGGACCGGGGAGGATGCCACTATTGCCGTCCAGCAGCTTACTTTAAAGCGTTTTGGTTACACTGGAGCCGTGGATAAAGCACATCGTGCTTTCGCTGTGAAGGAATTTTACAAAAACGGTGACAGTGAAGTGATCGCTCATCGTGAATTTCTAAGAGAGTTTGGTATTTATTGAAATCGTGCTGTTCTATCTGCCCTGGGTTCAAAACTTTGAGGCTACTGGTTCTACACTAAAGAAGAAAGATGTTAGCGTAAAAACAGCACGTACACCCGAGAATGTAGCGGCAGTGAGAAAAACCACTGAACGAGGTCCACGCCGGTCTGCGCGTCGCCACGCTATATCACTCGGTCTGAAGGCAGTGTTCGACGGATTTTGCACGCACATCTCCACTTCTACCCCTACAAAATTCAAATTACACATGCACTACACGAACATGACTATGAAAACAGAGTTGATTTCTGAGAGACTTCTTTGCAATTAATTAATTAAAACCAATCTGTCTTTAACAACTTAACTGATGAGCGATGAAGCTCATTTCCACTTACCGGGGTTCGTTAACAAGTAACATTTCCGCTACTGGTCAGCCACAAACCCCAAAGGAATTTATGAGAGGCCACTTCACAGTTCCAAAGTCACAGTATAGTTCACGTTATCTTCGTTTGGAATTACTGGCCCGTACTTCTTTGAAGATGAGTGGGAAAGCGCTGTAACTGTGACTGGACCACGTTAAGTTCACATGTTGGAGAGCTTCTTAGCCCCTGCAATTTCTCGTTTTCCCAGCAAGATGGGGCTACGTGCCACACCGCACGAGCTTCCATGGCAGTTGTGAATAACTTGTTTCCTAACCATGTTATCTACAAATATGGGGACATCATATGGCCAGCCAGGTCACCTGATCTTTCAACATGTGATTTTTTCTCTGGAGGTATCTGAAATCCCAAGTTTTCGAAGTTCCTGCACCCCACACAGTTCAGGGGTTGGAACATCGAATTCGGGAGGAAGTTGAACGAATTCCCATAGATACACTGCAAAGAGTGAGTGACTTTAGGAAGACACTTACCGGGTGCCTACAGCGGAAGGGTGGTCATCTGTCAGATGTTATTTCTGGGAAGCAGACTTCTGTTTTCAGTGAGTTAATTGAGAAACAAACTGCTTCTATATTTGCACTGTATTCATATGTGTTAAAACCAAATAAATACAATAATTTTCTATGCATAACGTTCTTAAAATTGCCCAATTAATTGACGAGCTCTGTATTTGCTAATTTTAGATTACAACTCTCTCATATCCAACTGATAATAAACACTATGACTATTTTATCAGAATTAATGGCACGGTTCATATACGTAACAAAATAATATAGACTGGCATAATCCAACTTTTCTATTGTACAATAAACGTATTTGTATAACTTTAGGGGCTTAATCCTCGGTATCACAGCTGCACGTCCTTTATACATGCTGTGTGCCAGAAAACCGAATGCATGCAGTCAGTTCTGCAGTTCTGCGTGCTCTCCACGTGTCCCTTCGTGAACTTCAGTGGTTTCACAATATTCTGATATGAATGCTGTCACATCAGCCCGTAACGACTTATTTTGATATTTCGTGTACCATTCTGAGTCGCAATTGTGGCGATATTGCCCAAGGACTTCAAACATTACGCTGGTAAAGGAACAGGACCTCTCAAGGCCACTTACTTAATGGATCTGAAGAAGTTCACATTTTATCAACTGAGTTAGCTGAATTGTCGTAACATGTGATGTCGTATAATCAAGCAGAATATTAATTTTCTACCAGACTACACGGCTTCATGTCAAAAAAAAGATAATATTCTTAAAATCACTTCCAATTTACTGCAGATTTCAACTATTCACAAACCATAATAATAAGAGGTAGGCCTCACCGTCTCTGCATCTGTATTTATATATCCCTTAACAACTTCTGATTGTCAGAACCAAGCTGCATGCAAAGTGGTATGGACGTCTCGGCGCATGCGTCCATCCCAAGGCGTACTTCATAAATCCCACCCACCAAAACTACAACCTCTCAAATTGTTTAGGTAATAACTTCAATAATGCTTGAATGTCAAAACCCATTGTGTGGAAACTTGGTGTGTGTGTGTGTGTGTGTGTGTGTATATATATATGACATGGACCGTGGCACCTGAGCCCATCTCAAACGCGCATTTCATAAATCCTTCCTCAATTAATACCAACATTAACACCTATCAAACGTAAGAGTTACAACCTTAATATAACGTCCGTTAACATCACATCTACACGGTGCCACATCCCAAAAGACTGCATTCTTCTTAATATTACTTGAATGTCTGTACCAATCTTCATGAAACTTGGTATAGCATGCCATATGAAGCAATATCAGGGATGTACTTCATAAATCCACCCAATATAAATAACAAACTGCAGGCTCTCAAAATTTTGAGTTATGTTTCATAATACTTGAATGCCTGAACATGTTGTCATTTCCAGATCGGAAAGCACACGGAGGGCAGAACGCCTCTTCTAGCGTGTGTGCGTGTTTTCCATGAAATGGGTGATGTAATATAACTTGTTAGAAGCTCCCGATATTCAAGAAAATATCAACGTCATGTCCAGTTTCGAAGTAACAAAATTCGCGCTATTTATACGTACGGAGTGACTCAGTTTGTATTTGTTGGAGTTTGAAAACAATACAGAAGCCGCGGAAATACTTATATTTATTTAGTACACATTTTGCCTCTGTGAGGACGACTGAGCAACATGGCGTCACTTTATATCAGTTATGCACCATTTTGTCTGAGGAAGATTTAAGAGTACGATCATGCACAGAAAATTTCGGGCACTGGCAATAAACAGTGATAAGTGTTGTCTTAGAATATTTTTAATGTAAACCAGGAGGTCAAGAAAATTTGGAAGGCCGAAAGTAAAATATTTTGAATTATGCTTAGAACGATTATAAGAGCTCAATTTGGTAGCTGGAGGAAAAAATGTAAAAAACAGAGTAGAATGGGCATCCGCCGAAAAGGACGTCAAGGTCCCTAGAGGGTCGTACAGCTGATGTTTAAAAAAAGCAGAAATTTGATTAAAACATTGAATTCTTCCCAGATACGTTATTCTGAATAAAGTTGTGAAAGGTGGCGTAAGATTCAGATTAGATTGCTTCAAATTGCACAACTCCTTCGTGCAGTTTCCGTTAGCTGAGGCAAGTAGAGAGGCAAAGGGAACGAACTAAAATACATAAGTCAGAATTATAGGCTCATAAATGGCCACAATTAAATTTCTACTTTTCTGCGTCAATGACGAATAAATTCATGGCTACGTTCTTATCAGTAAGTTCTCCATTAACCACGTGGTACGACTTTGAGAATAAAGGAATAGATAGATAGATAAATAATAAATAAATATTCTTACAAAATAAAAAAGGAAATTCAAAAGCTCAAGAAAGAGTATACTACCGAGTTCAGGCTTTCATGATGATTAACTGCTGATGTTGACCACGTTCTTTGGTAGTTACAGTGCATGCAAGTGGCGATGTTCCAAATGTGTCGGAGGTGTATGCAGCCTTCATGTTCAGGAAGGATGTGTGAAATTTGACGATTTTTGTATATATATAAATAAAAACATAAATGTTGGTTTGTTAATTCTCGAAGATCTCCGAAAGTTCTTCAGCGATTGTTTCGAAATTTTGATACAACGTTGCATTCGAACACGCGCGTGTTTTTATATACCCCTTATATATATATTGTGCTTTAAAAAACGCGGGTGAAGCGGAAATAGAGTGGCGATTGGTGCCTGGTCTGGACTTGTAGGTACAATGGACCAGGAGCGTCTTCCAGGTTCCTCATTTATGGTCTTCGGAGTGCAGAAAAATCCGAGCGAAAAAATATTTGCCCTAAGTCAACGTGCATTAAGAAAAAGTCTTAGCTTTATGAGGGGGGCATGCTATGGTAAAGTGGTCAATGTCCTGTAGAAAAATTATGTTAGCATAAAAATTACTAAAACTTTAGAGCCGGGGTAGCGTAGTCGGTATAGCGACTGGCTGGACGACCGAGAGGTCGGAGTTCCAGTCCCAGTAGGGTCAATATATTCTCTCCTCCACAGCGTCCTGACTGGCTCTGGGGCCCACCTGGTCTCCTGACTAATTTGTACCTGGGGGTTCTTTCCCCGTGGATAAAGCGGCAGGGGCGTGAAGCTGACTACTCACCTCCAACTAGTGCCGAGGTCAAGAAAATGTGGATGTATACATCCTATCCCCCCTACGCCTTCATGGAGTAGTGCTTAATTAGATAAGCACAGAACAACTTTTCATTTTACCCTTTTCGTAAAAGTTTTCCAGTGGAATTCAGCACGAACACAAACTCGGAATTTCAATTTAATTTTCTTAAATGGCCATCGTAGCTAAAATCCTTAGAATCCCATTCGGACATTGCAGATTATTTCTGTGGCTCCTAGTACGGCAGATCTGAACACACCGTTTTCAGTAATGCAATTGGTGAGGATTCGCACTACAGTTATGTCTGAGAACTACTGTCCGGTAAATACAGCCGGAGCTCAAGGTTCAACATATTCACAAAGTGCCATTGTTCTAAACTGTCTGCAGGCAATGGATCACAGCCTGGTGTGGATATTTCTGTTGGGTGCCGTGTACTGGGCCAGAGGTGCACGCATCCTGGGAATCTTCCCCACACCGTCCATCAGTCACCAGTTGCCGTTCCAAACCATCATGAAGGCCTTGGCAGCGAGAGGACACGAAATTACTGTCATCAGTCCTGACCCTCTTAAGGTTTCAGTACATTAAACTCTCCCGTGATTTCAAGCGTGTACAATTATAGTATTTCTGTCCCTCAGTTCACCCTAAGTCTGTACTGCCAGAGTACAATACCTCGGTACACTGCACACCGTATTTTCACTTAGTTTCCTTTATGGGCATTTAGTTACTATTATATCCGAGAAAATGTGTATAACTTCTAACNATCATGAAGGCCTTGGCAGCGAGAGGACACGAAATTACTGTCATCAGTCCTGACCCTCTTAAGGTTTCAGTACATTAAACTCTCCCGTGATTTCAAGCGTGTACAATTATAGTATTTCTGTCCCTCAGTTCACCCTAAGTCTGTACTGCCAGAGTACAATACCTCGGTACACTGCACACCGTATTTTCACTTAGTTTCCTTTATGGGCATTTAGTTACTATTATATCCGAGAAAATGTGTATAACTTCTAACTGAATGCGTGATTCACAAAGTAGTCCCCACATGCTTACATTTTTAAGTTCTTAACACCAGTAACACCAACATGACGGCCATGCAAACGTCTAGGATTGGGGCGAAACTATCACCACTTGAACCCGGTTTCTAACGCGCTGTGATTATACATCTTTAGAATGTATACAAACTTCTGTTATGCTCACGTTTCTAAACGGGATGCGAACAACGCGAAATGGATATTGCCACCAAAGTCTTGTACGAAAAAATCTCCGAAATGAGAAAGCCCCTTGTCTCTATCACGCCTAAGTCCTCTCGCCCTCCGACACAGGCACTGAACATAAGAAAACAGCGAGGTCGAAAAACGAATAAGCCAGGCTTTGTAGCAAGAGTATCATTTCTTCGGACCTTGCAGGAGGATCTGATACTAATCAGAGACGACGGAGCGAATTTTAAAATGCAAAATAAACCAATCACGAATTCTGTCAATAAGATTGACACAGGCAGTCTTCACAATGTGATGTGGAATTTATCGGGCTGGAGACACTGAACTTTTCAGTTACGGATAACATAACAGTTACATTGACATCCGAGCAGAATAAGGAAATGACTAGCGATTTTCCTTCTCTGAATTTGTGCTCAGATGATCAGATTTGATTTTAGCATAAGGCGATTGTCTTTACTATTCTTATATTAGTATCACATAAGAAAATACTGTACCTATATCGTCTCGCTTCATGACTTGAGGCGTCAAACTGGGCAACTGGCGATACTGACCATGGAGGACCTGCTTCCACATCCTGTCACTTCGTTTTGCGAAATATGTTTATTGCATCAATACGCGAGTTACATGGAAATGGCGGTCAACTAATTTGCCCGCTGCCTATATCAGAGTACTAGAGAGGAGCGTTCGTTGTCTTATGTGTGTCTATAAAAGCATTCTCCTGAAATAGTTTAAATACACTCACTATACAATTATCATTTCCCGTCCACGAGCGTGTGAATTGCACTGTTATGCCCAGATCCAGTTTTCGCAGCACTTAGAGAACAAGAGCAATACGAATGCGACTTTACGTCAAGACACGTGACTCTAACAAAAACATTTTCGAGATAACAAAGGAACGATCATTACGGTGGGCAAAATGTGAATTCTCCACTACATACAACTGACTAGAGCTTAAATCAAAACCCCGTAATATCAAAAGAAACAAAGGACATTATGCAATGGCATCGATCAGACTTGAAATGTGAATTCGATAACAGATTTTAGTTCGTATAATAGAAGTTGGTGAACATTACAGATATCCATCAAGACCTCCTTTTTTTCGGCATGGAACCATTCTCAAATAACACAGTAAAATTGTTCGGTAGCTCATTCGGGAGAGATAGACGATCGATTTTGGCATTATTTCTGAGCGTACAGATTCGGAATGGCAGAAATATTAAAAAGATGGTACCTCATAAGCGTTACGTGTCTTCTTGAACATCGTTCCAACAAATCACAACCTTGAAGCGAGCTTTATTTGATGTTTCGGCCAACCGTAATTCCGAGGTTCTGCAACAAAATTTCTTTCTTCTTATGCCGAAATGTCGCATGTGGGACAGACACTGGAACGAGTGTCCACATACATATGTATGTATGTACGTATGTATGTATGTATGTATGTATCCCGGCGAAAAGTTTCGGATGTTGCAATTCCAAATAAAGAGAAAATCATGCATATAATCATAAATAAATTAAGATGCACACAGTCGTTATTGGAGTCGAAAAAATGTACACCCTAGGTTTGAAGAGTCCCCTATCTTGACGAATCTGTACGGTCCAGTTAACGTGAGAAACATCTGTCTATTCCGAATGAGGGAAAAAATATTTACAGTACCTCCAGACGATGGTACTACAGAATACACACGGTAAAAAGAATCTGTTAGCATTAGTCTTGAAGTTGACGAAAAGTGAGAATCAATGTGCAATGTGCAGGTCTGGAAACATATTTCCTCGACTGCAAATGTATCTGTATATCTGTTGTTACTATAGGATTCTGACGAAGGAAAACACCCAGTTATTGAGGCTAGCTCTTTCTAACGGACCCAACTGAATAGGTGTTTTCCTTCACCTGAGGACGGAAACAGATCCAGTTTCCGAAACGTCGTGTTTTTATTTGTTATCTTAAAAACCAGGACGATGGATAAAGTCCAAAAACCCAATATATCAATATCTGTATATCTGTATATCTCTTCCAGACGCCAGTTCCAAACTACACAGACGTGGACCTCTCCTTCTCATACGAATACTTCCATTCATCATTCGACTTCGCAACAATGGACCAGGCTACGCCATACGAATTAATCGAACAAATGATTCCCGTCGTGACTGAGATGGTCAAGAAACAGCTGAGTTCCCCGCAGCTTCAAGAATTCATTAGGTTGGCACTTCTGTCTATATGAATTACCTATGCTGCTCAGCTATCAACAAAGAAAACACTTCTTCGATTTACACGTTTTTCACGAACGTAAATGTTGCATAAATCTGGGTCAACTTCCGTAATTTTTTCAATTGTAACACAGACTTAGCCTGTGAGAAACTCAAATTCTGTTTTCTTTTCAGGTCAAATGCAACGAAATATGACCTTGTGTTTCTGGAGGCATTATTGTACCAAAGCTATCATGGTCTCATACACCTCGTGGGATCTCCACCTGTCATAGGAATATTGTCCCTTGAATGCTTCTGGACTGCGGGGGATGCAATGGGGACTCCAAATAATCCTGCTTTTGTTCCGGAAATTCTACTGTCGTATGGGAACCGAATGACGTTTTATGAGAGACTACAAAACATGCTCTTTTGGTTGTGGATAAGGTATATAGATTTCATTGGTACTGCTAATCCTTGCTTACATTGTCACAATTTCAAAGGCTGGACCCTCCTGACCGCTTCCACTCAAAGTTTCAGACAAACGTTTAGAGAAACTTTTCTTACACGGTGAGACGCAACATTTTGAATTCAATTCTTTCCTAAACGGACACGCATAACAAGCCATAAACTGTGCTAATGGAAGTGATATGATGTTAAGACCTATCTTTGCCGTGTTGCTGACTCAGTGTTGACTTGTTGTCACATAAATAGTTCTTACATTAGTTATACACTGGGTTCTTACCGAAGTAAAGTCTTATCTTAATATTTTATATCACATCTTGCATAAATTACTACCATTCCCTTTAATGTTAAAGTTGTAATTTTCTACTAAACCAATTATGGACACGAAAGCATAAAAGCGTAAGTAATATTAATAACAATAATAACAAGAGTGCTTGAGAATGAGCATGAAGAGACGGACAGGGCGAGTAGACACAGAATTAGTCTTGGTCAAGAAAAAACACTAATGATTTAGGAAGTCCTGGGGAAATACCTCGGAATCCGGAATACTGCGGGGGGATGATCATGATGGTCGGAAAATCTCAAGGAAGAAAGTTCCCTTCTCTAGTTGAAAAACAGGACTTCCGCACTAGAATAACTTTAGGGTCATTCATTACAGATCCCCGGTATAGAACACGTAATTTCAAAAATAAAAAATAACAAAAAGTAACATTAATAATAATAATATCTTAACATTAACGGCAACTAAATTCAGTCGCAACTTAACTCGCGAGCCTGTTCTATAAAACAAAGCTCAAATATGTCTTTACGAAAATAAAATAAATTTAATGCATTAATCAGTAACAATAATTAACCTTTCAATAGAGATGTCTTGAATCGTTACATCTTTAATACATAAATAAGCGGTATAACTCAATCAAGTGCAATTAGTTTAAGGCAACTAGCTGCACCTGATGGACATTTACTGCTTAATTAAGCATCAAAATTAAATTTATCCAATTGTAGTTACAAAATGGTCTATAACCTTCGTCCCTATGGACTGACTACTGCTGAAACCTGGCGGAAAAGAGACTGTTTCAACAAAAAATATCAAGACATAGCAATGCCCTAATCTAAACAATAAAGGACCAAGCAGTACATAATATAACATTGCAATCTATTCCTCACTAATATTTACGAGTATGTCGGAAAGGGGTACTCAGATTCTGCAACCGATTTACACATACCTTAAGCAGACCCTATTTCAAAGGTACGGCATTGAAGCAGAATCCTTGTTGTATGGATGTAAGTCATATTAGGCGTTCAATTCCTCATGTCAGTAATAGGCTGCAACCTCTACTTCGTACCCAGGGGTTGCCAGTCGTGAAGTCCTTCGAAGACCCTTTCCGCCCACTATAGCAAATTTAACACTGCTGTACTCTCGTGAAGCAACTCTGACATCACTACTTAACCTGTACCAACTGTGAATACCAAGTGATGGGCACTATCGATTACGTATGCCCACTATCAAATAAATCTTCGATAAAGACATGTTGACATCGAACGAATTAATCTTTCGATGGTTTTCATCTTTTTCATTCAGATTTATAATAATTGAATCAAGACGTTCGAATAGTAATAATGCTTTAAATATAAGGTTAAAAAAAGGTAAAGTTGTCCCTGTGCTTAACTAAGTAAGCACTACGCCATGAAGACGCATGGGGGAGTGGATGTATAAATCCAAGTTTTCTTGACCTGGGCACTAGTCGGAGGTGAGTTGTCAGCTTCACGCCCTGGCCGCTTTACCCACTCTACCCATTGGATGGGAGGCTAGGTGGACCCCAGAGCGAGTCTGGACATGTAGAAAATTCTTCACCCTATCGGGGTTCGAACTTTGACCCCTCGGTCGTCCAGCCCATAGCCACTCAGCTCTCAAGTAGTTACAGTCTCATGTGCAACACTACGTTGTATAACATTTATTCACTTTAAAAGTCCATCACTACATGTTTCAACCAGTGTGGTCATAACCAGGTGCTCAAATTTTTGGCGAGGAAGCTGGTGTCTTCTGTTGTTATACATATGCGCTGCATCACACTCCAGAAATCAGGACTCTTTTAACGAGAAAATTAATTTTTGGATATAATTCTGTCAGACATACAACTAGGCTATATTATGAAACCTGCCTGGGTTTTGAAAGAGGCCGTTTTACAAGATTTTTTTTACTCTTTTACTGACAAGTAAGCCAACCATAATAAGACTATGCCAACTGTGCTGTAACCATGACTCATCTATTCTACTTAATTTGTTCAAGTAAAACAGTTTCTGGAAACTGCAAGTAGTTTATGATATTTTGACCAAAGAACTGGAGTTTCCTAGGAAAGTGCCTCAGGAACACTGCTGAATGCCTCAAAACACAACAAAAAAATACAACTATAGGTCACAATGACACAGAATAACAAAGCTAGAAAATGGGGGCGTTACTTTGAAGACCTCCTAGGACTCCAAATAATACCTCAACATTCAGTTTTAGCAGAAGAGGCTCAGGGACACAAACCACATCAGTTCAAGATCTTACATATTATAAATTAATAAGATTTTAATCAAAATAATTGTAAATAATTTTTTATATAAAACTTAAGTACGTATTACAGACTTGTAAAAGTAGTTCCTGAACATGCTGATCTTATGCCTTCTGAAGATGGTCAGCTGACTGAAACATGTAAAGGAAATTAATATCTACAAATTGAATTACATTGGACGGTATTAACAATTATTCTATAATTTAGTTTACTAGTGTCACAGACCAGAAGAAATGTTTATTAATGAAAAAGGTCAAGTTGTGGCTGAACTTTATGATAAAAAGTGGCTTTGGAATTTATCACTGCTATGTGATATCATTCATCACTTTTTGTTACTGGTTCTACAGCTCCCTTGGGCCCTGACCTCTGATATCCATCACTTAAATTACTCAAATACCAAACTTCTGGGTCAACAGACTCAATCATAATATATTTGAGGCTGTTAAATTGTTTGAAATGAAGCTATTTCAGGAACAGATGGAAACTGTCAATTTGGCTCATTTTCCTTCATGTGATTTGCTTCATAACGAAGCACGAGTAAGGTATCTTTTCAAAGTGTCCATCGTGCAGAAATGATTGATTCCTTAATTGAGAATTTAAAAAAATCAATTACTTTCAAAGTCATGCTATAAATAAACATATTTTAGAAAACTTTCAATGTTGAAGTCAACAATGTTCCAGAAAAATGGCAAGTTGAATTCACTAAATTGCAGGAAGAATCAATTTTCTATAGTAGGAACAGTGTAGGTGGACGGACGGTTGCTATGCAATGCGTATACTGTGAGATCACACAATAGTACTTGGCCGTCACGTGACATATTTCATACACGTCCATCAGCTTGCATGTGTGTGGTAACGCCACACAACAGTGATGGGTAGTGATCACATGACATGTGTTTATGACAATGTGTTGTCTGTCCCTCGGCTATATCGTGTGTGTGTGTGACAGTTTTGTTCGACTTACAAGAGAGAAATGGTAGTGACAGAAGCCTGCAAACAGGGTGAATTGGAACCAGGATTACAGAAGAATACCCCCATCTCTAGTCACCCAAATACGTGACTATATACAGAACTACACGTGACAATTTGCAATTATTTCCTTTTAATACATGCTGTTTATTCCCTCTGGCATTATTAATCATCTGAGTCATCTAGCTAATTCTGAAAAACCATTTTCACCTTCAAACACTCATGATGGTTTCTGACATAGTGTATGGGATTTTGTGTTAATGCAATGTTTTGATGAATTTCATTTCCTTTACGCCAACTTCTCTATATAAGCACGAAGTGAAATGTGAACTGTTTCTTTGTGACAGGTACAAAATATACTTGGAAGCGTTTCCAGAGCAAGAAGCTATCATGAGGAGATTCTTTGGCTCCAGCCCCCCTTCTATTATTGATGCAGAAAGGAACATAAGTCTGCTTATGCTCAGCTCCAATTGGGTGTTCAACTACCCAATCCCTCTTATGCCAACAGTACTGACTTTCCACAGCCTGCACGTCAAAACTACAAATGACACACTGCCAAATGTAAGGGAAGAAGCTCAGTACAGGAAGCTCTTTTTCCTTCATCTATTACTCACAGCTTCTTCTAACAAACACACAAATGAATAATGAAGAATTTAAGTAATAATTACAAAAGATTCTGTATAACCTAACCAATTATTATCCACTTCTGGAACCATACTTGTAGAAAATCTGTAAAGCTATTTAATATGTGATCATGTTGCATTATGGAAACAGTCTTCCCATCTTCTGTAAACAGATGTGGCAACAGAGAAGTACTAATTAAGGATGAGTGAAAGGGTTTCTTTCAGAGAGGATCAAGAGTTTTACATCAGTTGTTTAGAAAGGAAATATCTTACAGCTCTCAAAAGCCCTGTTACATTTATAGGCACATAATGACACAGTGAGCTTTGAAATTTTATAAACTTTAACAATCCAAAATACTTTTCACTTCTTCCATATTACAACTTAAAATAAAATAAAAGAGGCTGGATTCCAGAATGAACAAATATACTTAAGAAGATTTAATATTATCATACAGGTAGCATATTTTCAGTTTTCAATGAAAGCAACGTAAAGTATTCAGTATATGAAATATAACACTAATTGCGAAGTGATCTTTCAGACATATATGTGTCATTTGAAGAATATTCAAATTACATGTTTTCAGTAAATTAACAAATTATCTGAACACAATGACATTAACTATAAAAAATTTAAAAATAAACACCATCTATTTTCAATGTTCGGTTTAAGGCTGTGGCCACACGAGTGCACAAAATGCATCTGTTGTAACCCACGTTGTGATGTCCGATGTAGAAAAACAACAAGAGAGGCAAATGCTATGCTTTCTTCTGGCTGCATTGCAGACAAAAAACTATGCACCGCATTCTGCAACTGTGTGGTGTCCTCAGCAACATCTGTCATAAATAATGTTCGTTGCAACGGATGTACTTAGTGTGCTCCTGTGGCCCCAGCCTAAGAATCACATTCCTGTTGACTTAACATGTGATATCCCTTTGCAGAATGTCTTCCCACAAAAATTCACATAGTTACTACAATCAATAATACATATTATTGGTTTATGCTACATCCAGATTATATCATTATGAGATAACTGCTTTACAGATGTGATAGAATTCTGATTCTAATTCCCCTTTTCAGTTAATGCATATTTATACTCATCAAGATCCCTCTTATGAAAGATTTGAAGGTCTGTCTACGTCTTGGATTAAAATCATAGGATCACTGTCTTCTACATTTTTCAAACCAGTTCCTTAAAATTAATAATATCACATGTCTCCTTGTACTTCATGACTGAATGAAAATTTAGAATATTCAGCCAGAAGTAGTTTTCCTCTTCTCCTCCCCGACATACACTGCTATGGCTCTTTATGATGAAAGACACACAAGGAAGCTATTAAAGCAGCAGAGGGGAATTTTCTGTAGGTACAGCAGTTTAACCAAAATAATTAAAAACTTTCAAGCTGTCAACTTCAAGACATGAGTTAAAACATGCATACACTGCAGTTTCGTCAATGAGCAGATAGACTCCACATATTACAGACATAACTGAATTGCTTTCAGGACCTACAGACGTTTCTTGATGAAGCTGAATATGGTGTGATATACTTCAGTCTTGGTTCCAATGTGCGTAGTGATCGTATGCCACAAGAGAAGAGGCATGCTTTTCTTAGCGCTTTCTCTGAATTGCCACAGAGAATTCTGTGGAAGTGGGAGTCAGACAGTCTGCCTGGACAGCCACCAAATGTGAGGCTTGGCAAGTGGCTTCCACAGCAGGACATTCTAGGTATTATATCCTTCTGTTGTTAACAGAAAGAGTATATATTAATTATAAGACATTTAATTCCCACTTAAAAATTCAATGGAGCATAATCTATGTTGTAATTATTTACAGATTAAATACAGTTTAATTATAAAACTCAGTTCTGAACCTCAGCATGAAACTGAGAACACACTAATGCATTCTTTAAATGGAGGCTATTCTTACACGGAATTTTACATGCATACACTGGCTTTGATGAACCTGGAATTCATAGGTACAATCCATTCCCACCTCTTTTATTTTTCCTTCCTCTTGCCATTCCTTTCCCCTTTCTTCCACCATCAAATTTATATTCAATTTATATTCAAACAGTCTGTGCAAATATTGAAAAAATGTACCTATGCAAGAAAATAAGGCAAAAAATTAGCCACACTACAAACATACTGCATTAGCTCAATCTTCCAGGTCTGTTCTCTGTGAGTACTAGCAAATACACAACTGACTTTTCCATATAGGCATAAGATGCTGAGCATGAAACGTAGACATTACCGTAAGAGTAACACCAAATTACTGTAACAGTTTTAATTATAGTGCAAAATTCATATTAATTTATACATGACCAACTCCCATTTAGTATGTCACACAACACAAGGTTGAAACTGTCATTTTTGTTTTGTATAATAAAATCAGGAGGGCACGCGGTAGCGTAGTTGGTTGAGGTACTATGCTACAAGCAGGATCGAATACCGATGAGGTCATTGGAATTTTTTCAATTTACCTAATCCTTCCAGCCGCACTAGGGCCCTGGGGTCAACTCAGCCTCTAACAGAAATAAGTACCAGGAATATCCTTGGAAAGTTCTTGGGGGTAGAGGGAAGCCGGCACGTAGGGCTGACAACCTTGTCGCCATCTATGAGCTGACTGTCTAGAAAATGTGAGAACTTCACATCTCGCGATCTTATGGGCCTCCACGGCCTGTTACAGGAATACTTTTACTTTTTACTTATAACAAAATCAGTCCCAATGAACATTTCTAAGGAAACCAGTACCTAAGTACATTTCTGCTTATATAACAGGAGATTTGTGCATGATTTTATGTTATGAAGCACGAACATAACAAGAGTTATAACATGAAATTTATCACATGAAAAACTTCTAATACTGCGGAGCAGAACTTTTCACAAGCTAATTATTAGCCTAGCTGGTTAAGAAATACTCCACCTTTTGTTGAATCTGACGGTTCAGTACCACATTTGCAAGAGTCCAGCATAGGAACATATCCTAAGACTGATGAATCAGGCCACACATCACTGCAGTTTCCCAAGTGTATATATATATAATTTCTCAATCTTCTATATGAAAGCTGTATTCTTGTCATTCAACACCATTTGATCACCCTAATGATATCTGGTAAAGAATACAAATTATAAAGCTCCAAATCAGACATTTTTCTCCATGCTCCTGATACTCTTCCTGTCTTAGATACAAACATTCTGTTGGTGTGAACAGCATAGAACACATTATTACGAGTACATTTCAGGCAATATTTCACACTGTAACTGTTCCTATAATGCACCACCTCTCAAAGCCAAAAATATTATGTTCCTCTATTCAAGAGAGTAAGGGTGGTCTGTTTTCCTAAGAAAGAAAACTGAGATATAAATGGAAATAGGTACATAAAAATAATGTTCCAATATAATAACAAAACCAGACAAATAAATAAAAAACAAATTAATAAGACAGCAAAAACAATTGTCTGTCATTCAGTATTTTGCAGTCACCCTTCCTATTTAATAAGATTCTTGTTTCTCTGTTTCTTTCCAGCTCACCCCAACATCAAGCTATTTATA